AGTGGATAGAAGACCTCTCTCTCTCTCTCTCTGCCTCTACCTCTCTCTGCCTCTGCCTCTCTGTAACTCCGCCTTTCAAATAAATAAATAAATATTTAAACTAAAGTAAAGAGAGAGAGACCAGGATGGGCAGCAAGAGGGAGACATGGGCCTGAGGGGGAGGGGAGGGGCTGTGGGCTCCTTCCCTGGGGAGGGAAGGCTCCCATGGCCTCAGCGCTGTGGCTGGCTGTTAGGTGAGATCCCACGCAGAGCCGCTCTTCCTCAAAGTCCCCAGAAAAAGCCGGCTGTCGAATTCTCAGTGTGACCACGGCCAACGCTGCGCAGGGCTGCGAGGGGGAACCGAGGGGCTGTCACATCTGCCCGGAGGAGAAAAGCAGCAGTCAGGATCTGAGGTCAAGGTCGAGGTGAAGGACACCTGCGCCCCGCACAGGAGGGCCTGCACGGCTCCCCAGCCCTACCTCCTGACCCGGCCTCTTGCCGACCCACACCCGAGGGGACAGCAGTGCCAGCTCGGGCAGCTGGGTCTCTGCCGCCCGCCTGTGAGACCTCAGCACCCACCTGTGTTCCCAGCACTGGTTTCAGCCCAGCCCAGCCCAGCCCCAGCCATTGTCAGTGTTGGGGAGTTGAATTGGCAGACAGGAGTTTTTGCTTTCTCTACATCTCTTACCTCTCAAATAATTTGATTTTGATTAAAAAAAAAAAAGAACTCATTTGAGAAATAAAGAGAGGGCTGGCGTTTAGTAGAATGGCTATGTCACCGCTTGGGATACCTGTACCCCATAGTGGAGTGATTGGTTCGAGTTCTGGCTACCTCATTCCCACCCAGCCTCCTGCTAATGCACACCCGGGAGGAGCAGATGATGGCACAAGTCATTGGGTCCCTGCCCCTCATGTGGGAGACCCAGACTGAATTCTGGGATCCTGGCCTCAGCCTGGGCCTACACTAGCTGTTGTAGGCATTTGAGGAGTGATACAGCCAATGGAAGATCTCCCTCCACCTCTCTCTCTCTCCCTTTTTTCTCTCTCTCCTCTCTTTGTTTTTCAAATAAAAGATGAAAATAATGTTTTCAAAAGATGTGACATCCTTCAAATAAATGAACAGCAATGAAGCCCATGTGACTGCAGGTGGCCTGAGGGAGAGGCGTGACTGACCAGGGGACGAGGACTCGGCGGGGAAGGAATGGGAATGGAGTCATGAGTAAAAATGGGCAGCACCCAGTGGCCTGGCCCTAAAGGCCTAGCACAGCCTCCAGACTCTGGGCTCCACCTGCGTTAAGTCGGACAAGGTCAGGGTTACGGCTGTGGGGCTTAGAATCATACAGCAGGGAGTATAAGGCTGCGTTATTGCTACCTGACTCCTCTGTGTCTTTGTTTCTTCTTCCTTTTCAAACCAAACCAAAGCACTCCCCAGTGCTGAGCTCAGAAGCCTGCCGGGAAGACTGGCAGTGGGTGCCAGCGAGGGCTAGCACCCAGGACAGCCCCCGGGGAGCCCAGCCGAGCTGTGGGCTGGAGGGTGAGCTGCAAAGATCTCTGCATTCTTCAGCCTCGGGACGCATGGGTCTGGGGCCTGGGATCCAAAAACCAGGTCAGACCTGGACTGTGTCACCTGCAGGGGCCTGGCCCAGTACCTGGGCACAGCCCAGCCTGCTGCCCACACCCACACATGGGCTTTGCTTGCCCGCAGCCCCGTGAGCAGCCTCGTGGCCCCAGCGGCGCTGCCAGGCAGCTGTGACCTCGGCTCTGCACCCTCACCTGGAGTCCCTGTGGCAGACGCCTTCCTCACACCTCTGGTGCCCTGACCGTGTCACATGCTGTGGGAGTTGGCAGGGCCTGGGGGCCCACAGATGCCAACACAAACACCATTCCTGTGGGGGCAGAAGAGCCCACGGGGATTATTTTTAACTTGTTGAACAGAGGCCACAGCTTTGGCCCCGGGAGGCCCTGGCGCTGGGGGGAGGAAGCCGGCAGACTTCACCTCAGTGAAGCCCAAGGGCCTTGGGCAGCAGGGAGCCCAGGCCGTGCCCCCACTTTGCTGAGGAAAGGGAGAGAGACAGAGGAGAGCCCCAGACCAGAGCATGCCCCTTCTTGCCCCTGGTCTGTCTGGGGCTGAGCCCAGCCAAGAAGAGCAGGGCTGCCTCAACATTAAACCTGCACACAGGTCCCCTGGGGGCCAGAGAGAGGGGGCCCAGAGCCACACGGCCACTCAGCGGCACCCACAGCCTGCCCCTTCGCCCACCTGTTGACCAGTTCAGACGGTTCAGTAACTCTCCAGCCACACCCACGGGGTCACCTTGCTCCGTCGTCCCCTGCGCTGTCCGCCCCCCACTTCCCTCTCGCCTCTCCCCAGCCTGCCACACCCCAGGGCACTGAGCCCCTAGAGTCCCCCCACCCCCTCCATCCCGCGCGCCTTAAAATGAGCCCCCAGGCACTGGCTCATCCTGCAAGGGCTTCCCAGGTGCCCAGGCAGAGCCGCTGGAGGCCAGCGCAGCACAATCGTGGCGGGAGGCCCAAGCGAGGACGTGCGGGCCAGGGCGTGCCTGCGTGGGGGGAACAGGACCGGGCTACTGCCAAGGGCTGCTGCCGGCTGCTGTCCAGCCTGTGCTCGCCAGAAGGGGGGTGGCGGGCAGACAATGGACCCCACAGCCCAGCCTCCTGGCCTTGGCCCCTGGAGCTGGACAGGCAGCCGCTGGCCCCTCACGTAGCCCACGTCCTGCCGCCTGGGTGGCCCTTATCACCGGGTACGTGCCAGGAGCCCACGTGCCCTCGCGCTACGGCTCAGGGGTAAGAGACCAGCGGGGAGTGAGACCTGTCCCTGCCTGCGAGGAGCCACGTACCCGGGGGGGCCACATCCTGACTCACAAGTGCCCCTCTGCCCTTGGATGCAGGGGCTCGGGACGGGGTTGGGGGTGGGGCACAAAGAAAGGGAGAAGCCGCAGCGTTCGTATGAACACTTGGGGTCTCCAGGTTGTAAGCATCCGTCTTTCCTCTTTTTTTTTTTTTTTTTTTTTGACAGGCAGAGTGGACAGTGTGTGAGAGAATCAGAGAGAAAGGTCTTCCTTTTACTGTTGGTTCAACCTCCAATGGCTGCTACGGCCGGCACGCTGCACTGATCCGAAGGCAGGAGCCAGGTGCTTCTCCTGGTCTCCCATGCAGGTGCAGGGCCCAAGGGCTTGGGCCATCCTCCACTGCTCTCCCAGGCCACAGCAGAGAGCTGGCCTGGAAGAGGGGCATCCGGGACAGAATTCGGCACCCCAACTGGGACTAGAACCTGGTGTGCTGGCACTGCAGGCAGAAGATTAGCCTAGTGAGCCAAGGCGCTGACCCCGTCTTTCCTCTTAACAGGATCAGATACCGAGTCCTCTCGTGTGATCCTCACAACTCTACTGGGCCAGAGAGGCACAGAGAGGCTGAGTGACTGACCCACAACACACAGCAGGCACCAACAGAAGCAAGCTCTCAGCCTCTCCCCAGCAGGACGCCGCCCGGATCCTGGGGGCTCTAGGCCACGACCCGTGTGCTCCGGGGCCAGTGAAGCTCCTGTCGAGGCCTTACCTGGGAAATGGGCAGTGTGGCCTGGTGAGGAGGTGCAGCGGCGTGGGCCATGTGCAGGAAAGGGGCTTTGAAATTCGTGCATTCCAGCAGCACTGTGATGCGATGCGACTGTCCCTGGCCTGGCTGACTGGTGTCCACCCACCTGGTCTCCCCTCCCTGGGGCCACACCTACATGGCAGCCCCCTTCCCTGGCACTGGGGCCCTGCTCACACAGCCCATGCACTGCCCCTCTGCCTCCCGGGGACACTGGCCCCTGCCTGTGGCCCAAGTCCCTGCCTCCCCGGCCATGCACACGGGCAGGCCTTCAGCAAGGTGCTCTGGACCCCTGCCCCAGGCTGCTAGCAGGAGCTGAGTGACCCGAGCCGCTCTGCAGCCTGCCCGGGCCCAGCTCCCCTGCTGTGCAATGGTGCAGCAGTCCCTCGCTGCACCCAGGCCGACGCCGACGCCCGAATCCTCAGGGACACGACACACCCCTCCCATGAGACCGCCCAGGCTCTCTGCCCGGGAGACACGGGCCTCCGACAAGGAGGAAGGCACAGGGATTTCCCCGGGCCGAGCCAGACCCACGCTGGATCTGCTGGGGATCCTGCCACCTTCCCGTGGTCACGGCGGGGGTCTCGTGAGGCACAAGCAAGCCTCCAGGAACGGGGAGGTGGCCAAACAGGACAAGGACAGGACTGGGGACTCTGGAGGACCTGGCCTGCCCGGCAGATATGGTTTCAGCTCCAGTGAGCTCCCAGGCTCACAGAGGAGGCATTCCTTTCTCTCAAGGGAGGGGCGGCAGCCTCACAGGACAGGACAGTGTGTTGGGGGTGCCTGCCCACCCCTGCCCTCAGGGAGCCCCAGCCTGGGGCGTGCGTGCCAGTGAGGGTGGACATCTGTGTGTCCGTGCCCTGCCTGGCTTCCTGCAGCCCTCCAGTCTGAAGGGGGAGACCCAGCTCTGTACTGAGTCAGATGGCAGAAGATGTAGCTCCCATGTCAGGCTGCCCTCCCGGGTCGAAGGAGACCTGGTTCCTACCTGGGCTGTGACCCTGACCTCGGGAGCCCGGTGGTGGAGGTTTGCATGTGTGAGCACGTGTGGACGTGGGGGTCTGCTCAACCCCCAAGGACCTCACTCACCCTCCCCCACTCCCGCCCTGGCCCCGGCTGCTGGGAGGGCACAGAAGCCATGGGTAGGCAGGGGGCAGAGCGTCTCTCCCAAAGCCTCTGTGTCCTGGAAGATGGAGGGACTGGGGGGGAGAGACAGCAGGGCTATCACATCTGGTCTGGGGGTGGCTGGGCCTGCTGCCCTGCACAGCTGGGCCACATCTGGCTTCCAGACATCCACCTCCTGTCCATGATTCACCCCATCCTCACATGTCGGCCGTGACGCAGCACATGGGTGTCTGGTCTGATGGCACGCGCTCCCTCGCACGCATGCGCACAGCTCCAGCGCGTGCGAGACGGGGTAGCTGGGGCCGCGGGCTAACGGGAGCCCCTTTTTTCCTCCCCATGGCCCTCATGTCCCTCCTGTTCCGGCCACTCTGGGGGCGGGGGCAGGGAGGCAGGGAGAGGAGGTCTAGTGTCCCCTGAGTCACCATGACTCAGTCTCCTTGCCTGGAATCATCACACTGCACGAAGCTCTCCAGGACGGTGAGCAGGCCTGGGAGTCAGCATGGAGGAGGCCACACAGCAAGCCAGGAGTTTCCAAATCACCCCACCACCAACAACAACTCTATCAAAGGGAAGCAAATCACCAGGAGAACAAAGGGTGAGGTAGGCACAGGGGAATACCGGCCCAGGGACCGGCCAGCAGAGGAGCATGGAACTTCCCCATCCAGCGAGAGCCGGGCCGGGCCGCCCCTCAGACTAGCACTTCCGCACAGGTAGGGGCTGCGGCCAGCCCACCTGAGTGAACCAGAGCTGAATGTCCCTCACCGCCTAAGGCAGGCGGCACGTTCGCCGTCTCTGGCATCACGGGGGTCTTCAGACTGGAGTGGGGGAGGTCTGCTCCCTCACGTGCCAGCCTCTAGGTGTCTAGCCCCAGTCTCTCATGCTGCATCACCCAGGGGGGCGGGCTGGGCTGGGGGCGCCCACAGGGCGTGTGTGCAGCCCCTGGTAAGGGGAAGTCCAGTGGAGCGAGTAGGCGCTTTCTGGCATTCTCTCAGCTGGAGGGACTGCGGGGACCTTGGGATCGCGGTGGCGCCGGGGACGAGAGGGCCCCTAAGCCAGGGCACCTGTGTCTGTCACCTGGGGAAGCCGTACTAGGCAGGTTCCTGCATCCGTGAGTCCAAATCGGTACAGGAAGTGGGGCCCCAGCCCCCTCGGCAGTTCCTAACCCCACACTGCAGCCCACACACTAGCGGGGAGAGAGGCTTCCTAAGGCTGTGGCTCTCTGGGCAGGGGGCACCCTTGGCCATGAAGGAAGCAGGAGACAGTGGTACAGGCCTGGGGACATCTCTCCACTCCCTTCATTATCTTTTATAGCTGAGCCGGCTCCCCCCAGCACCCCCCCCCCACATACACACACACACACACAGCTCCCATCTCTGCCTCTCCTCTTGCACTTTCTTCCAGAAAATAAGACATAGAACCATGCAGCTCCTTCCAGCTGGCAGGGTCAGACTCTGTGTCTCCCCCATTAACAGCAAGAAATGGGCATCGCCATGGCAGGGGGTGCCTTGAGATAGCAAGCCCATTGTACAGATGGGGAGAGTGAGGCCTGCGACTGCAGTGGCCCGGACAGGATGTGGTGGACCCCTACTCCACCCAAGCCAGGGTGGCCTCCCTCCCAGCCAGCTGGGGGCCACCCTCGAGTCAGGGGCTCGTCTCTAGCTCTCTGAAAGGGGCTTTGCTGCAGAGCGGACAGAAGGGGGCCAGCTCCAGCACCAAGCCTGTGGAGGAATCCTTCCCGCCACTTCTGCCTCACCAGGTAGACTCCAGGACCTCCCACCCTGTGGGCCTCTGCTTGGCTCCCAGCAGGAGGGATCCTGGGGGGCACAGGGAGCTGTGTGCATCCAGGCCAGAGTGGACACCTGGAGAGGCCACCAAGAGCCTGGGTGGAAGGGCAGGCAGAAGTCCACGTGCTGTCCCTGGCCCTGGGCCCCAGCCAGATGGCTGCAGCTAGGCCCACTTGGCCAGGTTCCCCCACGTCCAGTGTCCCTCTCCTCTCACCCCGACCCTGGTGCCATCAGTCCTACAAGTCCTGTGCTTGCCCCGGCCAGATGCCTGAGCGCAGACCTGGGCCTGAGGAAGCACACCCTCCCTCACCCATCCCTGCTCCTCTCCTCCTCTCCCCACAGGAGCCATCTCGGCAGGGCCACAGGGCCCAGCATACTCTCTGCAGGGCTGTGACCCTCCCAGGAGAGCCGACACCACCCCAACCCCAGGGACAGGACTGTGACACTCCCCTGCAACAACCCCGGTGAGCCTCTTACAGGAAGTCACCCACCCGCTCTCCTCTCTGTCCCTGTTGTCAGCCTCTGCCATCTCTCAAGGCCGCAAGCTGCTAGGCCTGCTTCCTGCTCTGCGGGCAAGGACGCGGCCTCTCTCTCATCGGATGCCAAGGCTTGATGCCACGGGGCTCCTGTCATCAGGCTCAACCCTCAAGTTCATCCTCTGTGACCCTGACGGAGGCTCCAACCCAGGACCTGCGGCTTCCGTCCATCACCCTACTTTCCACACCTTTTTGGTCAGCTAGCTATTTATTGGTTCCTTTTTTTACATTGTGGTAAAACACACAGAACATGAAATTGACCATCTTTGCCATTTTCCAGGGTCCGTGTCGGGGACATTATACACCTGCCTGGTGTTGTGGGAGCACCGCCACCCACCAGCTTCGGCGCCCCTCATCCACGGACCCCACCCCACCCCCTGGCCTGGCCCCGCCCCACCTGCTCTCTGTCCTTGTGCACTGGGCTCATCTGGGTGCCTCACAGAAGTGAACAGGGACAGCAGCCTTGCGTTAGAGACCAGCCGACTGTATCAGCATAACACCCTCAGCCTGCTTCCCAGCCCCCTTGGTGTGAAAGGCGGAGCCACACTCACTGCACACCTGTGTCTCAGTTCACGTAGCTACTGTTGCAGAAAAGCAACCTGCCTCTGGCTGGCTCCGTGAAAATTCTGAAGGGTTCAGGAGCAGATGAAGCAAAAATGGCCTTTGTCCCCCCTCTTGGCTGTGCCCGTGGTAAACCATTCTGGCGCATTCCTCAGGTTTTCAAGACAGAAAAGCAGGCCACTTGATAGCCACTCTTACCACACATGAAACCGTTTGTGGAATGGAAGTAAAAGGTGAGTTTATTTTTGTGGGAAGAATTTTGAAATCCATGCATACAAGGGATCTTCAAAAAGTTCATGGAAAATGTATATTGTGATAAAACCATGCATGGATTTCCTTATTTAGCCTTGAAATAACCTTATTAAAAATTAAAGATGTATTTGTTTGAAAATCAGAGCTAGAGAGAGAGAGAAAAAAAGAAATCTTCCACCTGCTGATTCACTCCCCCAAATGACCACAGCAGCCCAGGCTGGGCCAGGCTAAAACCAGGAGCCAGGAACTGCATCGTTGTCTCCCACATAGATGACAGGGACCCAAGCACTTGGGCCATCATCTGCTGCCTCCCCAGGTGCATTAGCAGGGAGCTGGATCTCAAGCAGAGCGGCCAGGACTTGAACTGGCATCCGATAGGGGATACTAGTGTCAGCTCAGCTTCACCCACTGTGCCACAATGATAGCCCCCCCCCTTTTTAATATTTATTCATTTATTTGAGAGGCAGAGTTACAGAAGGAGAGAAACAGAAAGAGAGGTCTTCCATCCGATGGTTCACTCCCCAAATGGCTACAATAGCCCGGGCTGGAGCCAGGAGCTTCTTCCGGGTCTCCCACAAGGCTGCACGGGCCCAAGGACTTGGGCCATCTTCTACTGCTTTCCCAGGCGCATTAGCAGGAAGCTGGGTTGGAATTGGAGCAGCTGGAGCAGGCGCCCATATGGGACGCTGGATGCCGGCACTGCAGGCAGTGGGTTAACCCACCTCACCACAACACTGGCTCCTCGATTGCTCTTTCTAACCACCGCGTGGTACTCTGGTGTTTGGGTGCCCCATCACATATCCAGTCACTCCCCTAGGGATGAACTTGGTACTGTTTCTAGTTTTTCAGGTCTGAAAATATAATTGCAATGAACACACTACTGGAAGGCTTGAGGCAAATGTATGACAGCATCTGATTAATTCCTAGATGTAGAATCCTTGTGTACAGTGGTTTGGGAATGAATTCTTGTCCAGTAAATGGGCAGTTGCCTTCCCACCACCTCTGAGAATGCCCGTGTCCACACAGGGAGGGCTCATCTATTATAGTTGTTGTCAATTGAATTGGTGAGAACAGAATCTTCTCAATTCTTAATTTTGACTTGTTGCAACATTTCGATGGAAGGTCAGCACTTCTGCCTCCTCGTCCTTGCCATCTCTTTTCCCGCTCCCACGCTTTGCCCATTATTATTCTTTTCCTTTTTCTTTTCCTTCTGGACATGTAAGAACTCATCTGTGATCTATGTTGAGAAAATATTTTTCCAGTTTATAGCTTGCCTTCAGACTTTACGATATTACATTTTACTGAAGCCAAATTTTTAAAACCTTTTCTCTTTGCCATTCCTATATTTTGTGTCATACTTTCCCCAATCCAAGAATAGACACTTTGGGATTTTTTTTAATGTTTTCTTCTAGTAATTTTATGGTTTCCTTTTTGCATTTACATCTTTGCTCCATCTGGGATTTATTTCAGAAGAAGAAATGAAATAGAGACCTGGTTTATTTTTTTCCCTAAACAGCTAGCCAGTTATCCAATTTGATTGAATAAATCATCTTTCCTCCTTGGATCTAACATGTCACTTTATGATATATTCAATTTCCATTTGTTCATGGGTGTGTGTCTGGCCTCCACTCTGCTCCTTTGATCTGTCTGCCTGGTGCTCCGCCTGTGCCCAACTATTTTATTACTGGAGCTTTATACAACGTTTTAGTAGCACCAGTCGCTTTTTGCAATGCTTCTGCCCCAGAATTTTCCAAGCTCTTTTTGCCTGTTTATTTCTCCAGACAAACTGTAATACAATTTGTGAAGTTCAAAAGATCTTGTATTTCTCCCATCTTCCAACAGATGCGACTCCCGATTGCCCAGCCCACAGCCCGGCAGACACGCTGGGAGGCGGGAGGCTCATGCTGCCCGGGCACGGCAGCAGACGCTGACAGAGGAGTCGCTTTGAAAAATGTGACCCTCATGGCGGGAGCCGCGAGCACGGGGGCCGAGGAGGCTCCAGCGTTTCAGTGGATCACAACCAGGGGCGAGATGGACAGTGGTAACCGCATCTCTGAGTCACCGAGACTCACATGTTCTGTAACCCCTGATTAAGAAGGCCGGGAAGTGTGTAACAGCCACTGGCAAAGCCTCCCAGGATCTCTCTTTTTAAGGTTTCGGATATTAACGTCTGGAACGCTGATGTGAAACGGCTCATTCTCAGATGATGACATAAAGATGACATAGTACTGCTCTCTCTGCAGTTTACTCAGAACCCACCTCCACATTCCAAGGAGCTGCCAGCACTCAGGTCTTTATCCTCCCCATCGGGGAAAGGGAGCGCAGGCAAAAGTCCCAGCCGTCAACCACCCCAAGCACAATAAAAAAAAAAAAAAAAAAAAACACCTACTCCTTACTGAGCTTCTGCCTCTGACGTGGAAGGCGCTGGAAGGTGCAGTATGGGCAAATTGTATTTCAGTCCTCAACAGCCCCACCAGGCCAACACTACACTCCCCATTAGTGGGGAACCTGAGGCTCAGAGAGGTTAGACAACCGAGTAAGTTCAAATTAGCATGTGACAATGAGCTCTCAGCCACCTGCACACACGCATGCGTATGCACACGCACACTGCCGACCACCGTCTCCCTGCACACACAGCAGAGTGCAGTAAGGGGCCAGCCTGGGCCACCTGAGGAAGGAGGGGACAGCGCCCAGGCCACGCACCTGCTGGCCCCAGAGGTCAGGGATTCGGGGCCAGGGAGGGGGGGAGGCAGCGGATGGGTGCCCTGGAACTCAGGAGGTACTCCCAAGATGAGGATACTGCCTCCCAGCACCCAGCACAGCCTCCCTACCCTCCGTGAGAAAGCCAGGACAAGGATTCTGCGTTCACCATGCCACACTTTTACCAGGGGTGCGGGCAGAGCTGAGTCCAGTCCTGGACATTCCAGGGAGTAGGAGCTATGCAGGTGACACCCAGAAAGAGGAGGTGACAGGGAAAGGCACAGCCTTGGGAGTGCCCCATCCCAGCATGTCCTTGAAGGGGCTTTATGGGGGTGTCCCTGAACTGAAGTCCAGGGCGGGAGGGGGTGAAGGCCCTCGGGCTGAGATCCTAGGACAAAGGTAGGCCTCTAGGGTCATTAAGCTAATCCACCAGGGGTCAGCGATTTCAGCCGCACCTGGCTAACTGCAGGGCTGAGGAGGGCGAGCCGGGCACCTCACGCCAGCAGCCGGGCAGGAAAGGGGCGTGGGGCGGGAGTGGGACATGAAAGCAGGCCCGGGGCAGAGGTATGATCCGCTGCCAAGTCGGACACACAGCGCGGGGAGCCGGGACGAGGGGCGCGCACGGCCTGGGCTGAGAGCATCCCCCAAGCCCGGCGCTCGGAGGAACCACGCGCTCCAGGGCTCGGCGCGCGCGCGCTCGGGGCCGGCGCCGCACGCGCACGCGCGCCGGCCGTCGCTCCCCCGCCCGCGCGGCTCCGGCTCCCGCGCGCGCGCACTCGAGGCCTCCCTTGTGCGTCTCCTCCATTCGCTACGTGCAGAATGGTCCGTCGGCAGCAGCTGCAGCGCCGGGTGGGAGGGGGAGGAGGAGGGGAGGGGGAGGTGGCGCGCCGGCCTGGGGGAGGGGCCGCGGCGGGCCGGGCGAGAGAGGGGTGGGGAAGTGGGGCCGGGCCCCCGGAATGGGGGGGGCAGGGGGAGAGTCTGGGTGGGCTCGACACTCAACACGCCCCCCCTCCTCGTCCCCGCGTCCTCACCAACGCGCCGTTCTGCAAGGCCATGGCGGTCATTCCCCTGCTCCCTGCCCCGGCGTCCTGGAACCCAGCCGACCGAGAGGGACTTTCCCCGTGTTGTCCCCTCCCCAGAATCCAGACCCAAGAAAGAATCACTTGTGTTGTCCCCTCGCCCCCCTTCCCCACCCAGCCACATTCCCAAGCTTTTGTACGGGATGACCCAACAGCCAGCCCTTCCCCACTCCCCTTCCACGGGCTGCGGGGTCCCCACGGGGTGCTGCAGTCTCACTCCCCTTCTCTCAGCACCCCCGCCCCGCGCCCCGGGAGGAAGAGGAGCGGGCAGGACGAACCCCGAACCCCGGAACACTTTTCCCAGCGTTCTCCATGCACCCTGCACCACAGCCACACTAGTGGGTGGCCCAGAGGGGCAGGCTGCTGCCGGGGTCCCCAGTGCCGCGTCGCAGGGGACGTCGGGAGGGCTAGACTGGCATTCCGAGGCTGTACCCACACTCCTGTTTGGAAAGAGCTCCCCGGGAATGCAACGGTGAGGGACCACCAGGGGCTGGGTCTCAGCTTAACCTTGAAGGTCCCCAACAGACCAGCTTCCTGTCCTGCGGGGAATCCAGATGTGGCCCAGATGTCCACAGCTGTCCCCTCCCAACGGGTGGGACACCAGCTCTTCCACGCCGCCCCTCCCAGCCCTTCTTCCAGGGTCAGCGGAGGAAAGCCTGTGACCTCCAGTGCCCCTTCCCCATCCGGGCTGCCGGGAGGGGGCTACTCCCTCATCCTCCTCTTCCTGCCCAGGTTCACCTCCAAGGCTGCCTCTGAAGTGCAGCCTGCGGTGTAACCCCTAGGCCTCTGCTGACAGGTGAAGTCCAGGGCACCAAGAGGGAAGGCGTCTTGGGTCGGTTTCATTACACACAGTCACCAACCCACGATCGGGGCAGATTCTCCGGTCCCCCCCCCCCCCCATGGCCTCGCTCTGTCGGCGGCGCCCTCTGCTGGCACATGGAGAAGTATGGAAAAGAACAGAGCCGTGCCTGCGCGCTCAGGGAGAGTCTGGGGAAAAGAACAAGCCCAGATCCAGTGAAAACGGAGCTGGCCACCGGCGAGGGAAGCACGATGCAGCCTGCCGGGGTGGGGGGAGGGGTTGAGCAAGCTTTACGTGGGCCTAGGGTGACGCCCCAGGGTGGCCCTCCGTGGGTGCTGAGTCTCAGCTCACACACATCCCTGCCAGCTGGGAGCCCTGAGCCTTCTAGCCACGCCCAAGCTTTTAGGGGAGAAGGTGACCCCAGGGGAGCCGGCAGCAAGGACCTCTCTCTGCCCACTCCCCCCTCACGTAGGCACGCAGTGGCCCCAGCCCAGAACCTCGGCATGGGAGGGTTGGAGGAGGGGTAGAGGCCTGCCTAAGAGAGGCCAGCCTGCCCAGAGGTGAGATCTGGGTCAGCAACCCATCACCTTGCCTGTGGACGCCCCATCACGTCTCACACGTGGGGCCAGGGTGGGGCCAGAGCCGCCACTGGGCTGGGCAGGTGCTAGGCCCTGGGCCTCAGGGCCACCAAGGGGCAGGACAGCAGGAAAAGAAGGAAAGGGTTCTCCCTGCTGCAGATAACAGCCCACAGAGAGGGGGCACCAGATACCCCCCAACCCACCCTGCCCTGCATTTGGAGTTTCTCCCTGTGAGTTAGGTGAGGGGACGGCAGGTGCACCAAGCCCTAGGGGCTCCTAGCACCCGCCCCTCCAGGGCCTCCCAGAGAGGCCCTGGGGACCTCAGCACCTGTGCAGACCTTTCACCAGGCCGGCTCTCCCAAGGCAGGCCCAGCAGGCGCCACATCCCCCAGGGCCCCCCTCAGCTCTGCAACCCGGCAAAGCCAGAGGCCTGGTGACCGGGACCACCCCCATCCCCGCCCTCCAGGCCGACTGGGCTGATTCACTGCCTCCTACCTGACCGGCCAGGCCCCCTTCCAGACCCAGCCTGGGCCCTGCGGACTCCCAGGGGCAGGACTGAGGCCCGGGAGGGAAGAGAGAGCCAGGCGCTTTAATTGGAGGTAATTAGTTAATGTATCCTCAAAGCCGTGGGGGAGGGGGGAGGGGCGGCGAGGGAGGAGGGGACTGAGGCCTGACGGGGCTCCAAGCTGCTGAGTCCCTTTCGGGCCAGCACCCCCCTCCCCAACCTGGGCCACCCTGCCTCAGCCCTGGGGTCAGAAAAAAGCAGGTGTCCTGGGGTGGTGCCAACTGGAGTGAGAAGGGGACACTGGTATGGGAACTGGGCCCTCTCCTGTCACCTCCCAAGGTCATTGTCCGCCCCCTCCCCCCTCCCCCGCACGAGGTAAGGGCCCATCCTCCTTGTCCCTGGCTGCGCAGCAGAAGCCGGAGGCCGGCTTCACTGGGCCCTGCCGCGGGGGGCCGTTCCCGTGAACCCGGGAAAGGGGCGCCCGCGGACGGAGCCCCCGCCGGGCCCCGGGGGGGCGTGTCGCCGGCCGGCGGCGTGGCGGGGACTCTGGCCGGCAGCCTCCCGCGCCGCCTCGAGCAGCTGACCTGCTGGCGGCCGGCCAAGCCAGGCGGCAGCAACGTGCGGCGCCGCATGTCGCGGGCGCCGCGGCGGGGACGTGTGGCGCGGCCGGCGCGCTCCTCCCCCACGCCGGCCCATTCATAAAACCCGCGGGGCCTGGCGGCCGCGCTCTCCTAATTGCAAACTCATTAAGGAGTTTGCATCTCATTTGCATGGAAATCGTTTCCTGGCCCTCAACAGAGAAACCACCTCCCCCCACCCCCGCATCAGCCCCCCCACCCAGGCCGGCTCCTTGATCCACAGTGTGGGAGCCGAGGCGGGGCCGGAGGGGAGGGTGGGGGGAGGCTTAGCTGTACCCGCACCCCACCCCGCCCCCGTTAGGAAGGGAGTAGGGAGGTTGGCAGAGCACCCACCTAGCAGAGCCCTGCCTGCACCCCAGGTGAGCGGGCCTGCCCCGGGGGGGCCAGCGGTAGGGGAGGTACCCACGGGCCTGGCGGTGCTGAGAGAAGGGAGGAGGCGGTGGGCAGTCCCAAAGCAGCTGGTTGTACCTGGCAGGAGTAGGGCTGGTGGGTGAGGCTGTGTGTGCCCGGCCTCACGTACCTTCCCCGCCACAGGCCATGCCCCCACCCCCATACCCCTCACCCCCCAGAACAAGCGCCCAGTGACTGCAGAGACAGACATTCAGTCACGACCCACAGAGGCACCCACACCGGGCCAGCCAGCCTGGCCGCCACCCTCCGGGTAGACAGACGCCTCTGCAAACCAGACTGTCCTGCAGTGGTTACAGTCACGGAGCTTCTCCAGGGACCTGCCAGGGGAGCAGGGACCATGGGGGCTTCCCTGAGGGGCCTGCCCAGCAAGGGGGCACGGAAGGCTCACCGTGTGTACCCCGAGTGCCTCCCCAGGCAGGCACTGTCCTTTCCTAAGTGGGTGTGGGGAGGGGTGCCCCCGTGGGGCAGGGGGGAACAGCCCACACTGTTGGAGGTGGACTGGAACTGTCTACACCACAGATACCCCTGGGGGACAGCGGGTGCTGGTTCTGCACCCCCTGAAAAGTGCTCAGGACATTTCAGCATCTGAGTCTACGATGAAAGCCTGTGCCCGCGCTGGGCCCCTCCCCAGACGTGGCCCTGCTGGTGCTTCCTGTCTGCCCACACTTGTCACACCTGTTGCCCCTCCCCGGACTTCCTCCCTTCCCTCACCAGGACATAAAGGCTGAGCAAGGATGTCAGGGACCACTGGCCACGGGTGCATCCCCAGTGGGAGTGAGCTCACGCCATCCACCCAGCTCCTGCAGCCCAGGGTTTCGAGGGCGTGGTTCCGGGGATTCTGGAAGCAACTGTTGGATGGCTCGTTTGTTCACCGCATGCTTTTTTTTTCCCCCGTGTAGTGTGAGTGCATTTTACAAGGTAAACAATATAAAAGGCTATTCCTGTTACAGGTGTATGTGCAACCATTTTTTGAATGACGAGGGGCACAGGACTGGACTCCAGGTGGAGAGGCCGTGGGCAGGGGGTGGCCCGTCTTGTCCATCCATGTGTCCTACTTGAGTTGTGATTAGCACAGAGCTGGGGAGGGAACAGGGATCATGGACAAAGCGTTGGAGGCACAAAGTCCACCCCTAGAATGGACAGGCTGGAGACATGAATCAGAGAGGACCATGGCCACCCCCACCCATCCCAGGGAGCAAAGCCCCTCCTCTGTGTGCTAGGCTCC